AGTAGATTAAAACGAAGACAATAAAAACGATTTTTGGAAAAAATGTTTTGGGAAATTAATTGAATATTGTCCAGAAAAGAAGCTATTAGCTGTGATAATATTTAGAGTAGTTACATTGCTTTAATACCTTTTTGCATAAATGCTACTAATTAGGTATTGTCAATAGATCAAATGTTGAAAACCTACCTAGAGTTCGTTTCTGGACAGGATCTCAATGACTTAAAGCAAGTGATTTATATCATCGATTTAAATCAATATTTAAATGCAATAATTCACACAAAAAATCATCGATTTAAGTCAAAATATAATATATTGTAAATTTTACAAAGAATGATTATAGTAATTAACGAAACTAGTGTATGAAGAGGGATATAATTATATGAATGGCATGTTCAACAAAACGAGCGACGACAGGAACGAGTTTTTTATTTACCATTAGTGTGATTATACCCCTTTATCCACGTGTGACGTTCAATATTTTTGCATTTCCATGAAAAACTTATTTTAATTTTGAAAAATTCAATCACATCTTTATCATTTGAGGTATGTATTTGATGACGTCATATTGGTTCTGAACAATACCTATATTTGCAGGTCTTGCAGTGAATATTTATGATCACCTTTGTGTCTTCAACAATAATGTATGAAATAAGAAACTTTTCAAACTGGAAAATGTTTAACATATACCGGATGAAATATTAGAAGAAGCTGACAAAGCCATGAATACATTATCTCGTATGTTTGTAAAAAAATAAAAGAGTTTTGCCAAAACAAAGCCTCTCTCGGGGCCGTCACATTCAAATTAGTGAAGCACGAGTAAACATATCTGTGCAATATAATGCAACTTCTGGGTTAGTATGTTTGACGCCAGTATGAGTAGGGAGATAATTTCTAATTTAACTTCTTGTGCTACAAATTGTTCTACTTATTGTCTGAGAAGTAGTAATAATTATTTATTGATAATTTTGTTTCATTTGTTTATTGTTAATGCTTTTTGATGTACGTAATCTGTGGTATACATTTTTGTTCATGTTGCATGGCCGTCTGGAAATATCTTGGCTACGTCTCTGTTGTAGATACATAATTAAAAGATTTTGATTAGTTCTGAGTTCTGATTGGCTATTGTGAACTTTTAATTGCACGATGAAGTTTTAATTGGGTACCATAACCTTAAAGATAATCAACGATTTGTCATTGAATTAAGAAGCATATTTAGTTCACTAAACGAAAAAATAAGGCTATAAAGAAAATAATTACAAATCATAACATGTAAATTATTTATTCATTAATAAACAACGAACTTTAATAGCTTGTTTTAATTGTTTGTTTATAAAGGAAAAGCAATTTTGCTGATTTTCTGTTTTAAGGCGTTTTCTAATTTTTGGTTGGACAATGTGGAAAATATTCGACATTTCGTTTTCTTTTTTTGTTTCATGGCTTGCATACTATTCCACCACTCTGTGGATATGAGTTCTTTCGTAACTGAGGGATCTAAAAGCGTTCACAATTAAAAAGTGTTCGTAAAAGTAGCTGTTCTTAATTTCAAATTTTTGTTATGAGTTCTACTCCAACATCATCGTAGTTAGGTTTTAAATATTCAGAGGCTTATTTGTTCTTGTTCTTTTTAAGGAAATATTTTGTAATGTTTTCAAATATCGAATACATTACATAATTTGAGTATTTAAATTTAGATTAGAATTTAAATAAATAAAATCTGATTTAAATTTAAAAAATATCTGAAATTTTCTGCCTGGTGGTTACGTAAACCAGTGAACCTATTTAACAACAACAAAAAACAACAAAAATCAACAACAACAGTGTTCTAACAGCTTTCGACATTGACCTGCTTCGTTAGTGGAAACGACAGCTGCCATTTTGTAATTCACGTTGGGAATCCTAACAACTTATATTTAAAAAAAAAATCGCTGCGACGCTGTCTCCTTAGAAGTCGACGCAAATGCTCTTAAAATGTCCGAGAGAATTACGCCGTGCTAAGAGGCTTGCGCAAAAATTTATTAGCTGCTCATTATAATACTCGGGTGGAGCTTGGGGGCAGAGGACAGAAATCCTTCTTGACTTGGTGCTCCCAAGGAGGAGATCGTTAGTGTGGCGGGCATGGCCTCCCATGTTACAAGAAGGATGGGACAACGACAGGGTGGCCATTTTCTGGAAGACCGAGAAAAAGCAGGGAATTTCATTACTCTGGAAAAGCCTGGAAAAATCAGGGAATTTATGGAAGAATCGTTAGTAGTCAAGGACAATTTTTAAATGGTTAAAAAACTATTTTGTTCCTAGAAAATAATACAGTATTCTTTTGATTTTTCTATTTTTTTAAAAATTTGTATTTGACGGCAAAATCATTAAGCTGACAAAGTAGTTACAAGCTTGCTTTAATATATTTTTCTTTAAATAGTGAGATATACTCTACATACGTATATTATAAGTGAATGAACATTTGTTTATATTTTCAGTCTTGTCATTTTCAAATTTTGATTTTATATATGCACGTTTTCGTGAGCTCCAGAATTCCTACCAGCACTTCTCCAGATCCCTACCCCCACAAAAATTGTTCCTAAATATTATAAGTACAACTTTCCTGACGGTCAGAAGAAAAAATACTTTAAAAAATGCGAGTTGGTAATTTTATTGTTATATTTTGCAACGATTGTCTAGCCGGATCCTAACATGATTCACAAAAATGACAAAACCGAAATCGGGGAAAGTCGCTCTTTCAAAAAGCCTAAAATGACTTTTATTAAATCCTGAAAACCTAAGTCCCACTCATCACCCACCCACGCTACTTCATTTGTAGAAAAACATTTAATGTGTTCGGATGAAATAAATATTGTCTAGTCTATGCAGACTTGTTAACAGTTATCTTTACGAGTATCTACTTTGTGCATAGTTTATGTTTCTTCTTGGCAATAAGTTTCATTATTGTTTTCTCTTTGTTCTAGGTAAGTGAAGAGAATGTCTTCCTTCTCACCGCTCTCTTTCGTCATTTACGGTAATGTAATAATGTGTACTCAAAAGTTTTAATTTGGCTGTTAAGAATGAAAAATATTTTTAAAGCGATCTTTAGCATTTAACAAAAGTCTTTATATTAAGTTACAAAATGTAAAGAATGAGGGGAAAAAGGTACAGGACTTCACTATTCTAGGTTTTACCTCCCTCATCAGGTACAACTGAATTAAATTTTCTGTTGTACCTGATGAGGGAAGCAGAATAGTCTCCGAATCGTCGTATGAATACACATATAAATATTATTATTATATATTTATTTTTTTGTTTTCTTCTGTTAAGAATGATTGAGATGAATTCATAGTTCAATCTTAACATGTTCACGTGCCTACACTCGCGGCACGTGACATTGCGAATTTCTTGGTTTTGCAAACAACAATAGTACGAAAATTCTATATACCTATGTAGACTATAAAACTAATATTTATAGTATGCGATACGGCTGACTCCATTATCACCTAAAGGGCCTGAATGGGAAAATGAGCAATATAATTATGTTACATAAATTGCTATTGCGGTGCTCATATCAATGTTAAAAAATGAGATGTCAGAGTAAATATAATTAAACGAAGAAGTGACGAATGGCATTTACATTTTATGGACATTAATATTTGTTGAAAATGAAATTAAGCAAACACGAACTCAATTTCGCAACTCATCGTCTCTGTATAACGGTCTGTTATTGACATAAATTGTGCGTAACTCGGAAACAGCTGATATTGGAGCTTTTAAACCGGCCATTCAAGTGGACTGATTGTTTTCGTGCTCGTCAACTGCTACGCAGACACGCACGATGGCAGACCGGTCGGGCGCTTGTCCCGGCTGTGGCGCTGCCCCGCTTGTAGGAGATACCTCGTTGGGGGATGACCCCTCTAGCCGACAGTAGGTCGGCCCCGGATTTCGCCATACAGCAATGAAAAAGATCACCGCCAACGCCCGAGCAAAACATGCACTATACTTACGGGACAAATGACCATGTTAGTTGACGTGGCCGGAATCACTATAGCAATCAATCAATCCCTCAAATGTTATGGGGATTATTTATCTTAGTGTAGTGAATGCTGTAACGCGGGAAGAGGCGGTTTTGAGAATGGATGGTGAGATTTGGCGCGACCTACACGTCGGGTTACCGGAGATTTCCTTCTCTAGGTATCTCCACCAGCAGGACACCGCTCCAGTCGGCACTAGCTCTAAGCTCTCGACCGCTCTCCCGACAAGTGTGGTAGTGTAGTGTATGTAAGTAAGGAGTGAAAATAGGTCAGAGAAGAGAAAGATCGCGAGCGGTCCGTGTCCGGTTTGATAGGGTGCGGCTCCGGCATTCGCCTGGCGTTGATCGGAGAAACCACGGAATACGACCGATCAGAGCAGCCGGTCGCTAGAATTCTCCTCCAGTCAGCGGCTGAATTCGAACTAGCTTAGAAGCAGATATTAAGAATCCGCAACCATTGGGTTTCATACCGTAGGGTCTCCCGGTCGCAGATGCAGAGGCAGCAGTCACTGCCCTGAGAAATATCATCGGCACTTCAAAGTTCGGCAACTATGCTTCGATTTAAACAGTGTCTCATGGAGATCACGAACGAGAAGAAGAGTGGGACACTGTCATCCATCAGAAAGCATCGTTACGATTTAAATTTTTGGTCTTGGAGCTCCCGATTGGATGACAAGTTGCTCCTCTCCTTCCAATTCATGATCTGCAAGAGACACTCTGTTTAAATCGGAAGTTGCCGAATCTCTGGAAGTCAATAGCCCGGATGATATTTCTCAGATTGCTGCCTCTGCATCTGCGACCGGGGCCCTACGGTACGAATCCCAATGGTTCCGGATTCTTAACAACAGCTTCTAAGCTAGGACGAATTGAGCCGAATTCAAGATCTTCGAAGAGCGCGTGACAATGAGGAGCCAATCTGTTTAAATCGGAGTATAGTTGCCGCACCTCTGGAAGTGCATTATCGGGTTGGTATGTCTCGGGGCAATGACGGTTACCGCAGCAGTGTCCGTGATCGTGATGTCGCAACTGGAGTGCAGTACCCGTCCATCCAACTGCCGCAGTGCGTCGGGCGAAGCAGGAGGGGGGGGCAGCGGGTGGCGAATCTAGGAGCCCCGCCGCGGTGATCGCTCGTCGGCGCGCGAGCCGTTTGGCCTCTTAGACGCCTGGTTATTCCGCCCCCGGGGTGGGGGAGAGGCAAGCACTGGAGGCGCATCAGTTAACACGGAGCACGCCCGTTGCTCCGGCTTTATGCTGAGTGTCAAACGCTGCCGCCGCCCCACCGTCCCCGCCCACGCGAGTCTCTCCGTGGCCGCCTCAGCGCCCTTTGAAACCTCCGGCCGCCCCCGCGATGCTGCCGGCTCCCGCCCCCGCCGCTACCCGCTACGGGCCGCTCCCGAGTCACCGCATCCACCGCTGCCAACGCCGCCTTCGCCGTCACCCGCCTCGCCGTCACCGCCTCGCCGTCACGCCCCCGCTGCATCCCCCCGTCGACCTTTGCCGCCACCCCCAGCCGCGACGCGCGGGCCCCTTCTCCGCCCTGTCCCTACCCGCTCCACCGCACCACGCCGTCTTCGTCTCCACCCCCACGCCACGTCGCCGCGCTCCCACGCGGCCCTCGTCTTCTTGCCACCGCCCCAACTGACATACAGGCGCTGCCAGCCCCCGCCACTACCGCCCCACCGCGCTGCCGCCCCCCCGCCGCTGCCGCCCCACCGCCGCTGCCGCCCCCACGCGCGCCGCGCCCCACGCGCTGCCGCCCACCGCGCTGCCGCCCCCCCGCGCTACCCGCCCCACCGCCACTGCGCCCCCCACGCAGCGTGTGCACGGCAGCCCACTCCACCCCACTTCTGTATCTACCGCGCCCATCCGCCGCTGCAGCCCCACCGCGCGCTGCCGCCCCCACGCCCACTGCCACTCACGCACTGCCCCCCACCGTCACTGCGCCCGCCACACTACCGCCCCACGCGCCGCGCGCCCCCACGCACCCAACACCGTCTCCGCGGCTCCCTCCCCCTAGTCCACGCCACCGGGTAGCCGTCTTCGTCTCCCGCCCTCCCTCCTGAAGGCCGCCGCCCTCATGCCCGCACCGCCCCACCGGTGCTGCCTGTGGTCGTGCAAAGCGGTTCTGTGCACCCACGCCGACCCGGCGCCCTCGTCGCCTCAATAGCTCTCGCCGGTGAAGCCATCCCCGATGACTGTGTTGTTCCCGTCGCCGTCAATGCTCGCGTGTAAACAGACCAACGTGGCTCACGGTATCAATTGATACCACTACACTGCCTCTTAACGGGAGGTCGTAGTCCTGGTGGTGGTAGGTCTCAAAGGAGAATTGTAGAGGCCGGCTGCTCTGAGTGGTAGTTTTCCGTGGTTTCTCCGATCAACAACAGGTGAATGCCAGGGCAGTAGGCTAACAAACGGGTCACGCCCTGCGTGAGATCATTCCTTCTCCTCCTATTACTTCCCCTTCCTATCCCTTTACGTACACACACACACACACACACTTGTAGTATATTATTACACTTGTCGGGAGACTAGTTGGAACTCTAGAGCTTGTTGCGGCTGGGGCTGTTACCGCTTGTGGAAGATACTGTTGGGAAAACCCCTATCCGACTTGTATCCTGACTACTCCGACATGTAGTTCGACATCAGATCTCATCATCGAACGGGGAAAACCATGGCCCCCTGATATAAATAACGTGCACTACACTACCAACGGTTTGACTATTTCATTCATTTTTTCGAGAGGTATCAATAAAGTATTTGTCGCCTCTAGGCGCCTTAAAACTCCGTGTAGTTGGTGGGTTAGTAACCGAAAAGTTTTTGGAGAAAATTTTCAGTTTCCGAGAAGTGTCCGATAATGCCTCGCTTTCCTTGATAGTTTAACCAAGGGTCGGTGAGAAACTGGCTAGTGAACACGCAGACATGCACGTGTTACTCCATTTTGTTTCGTTATATTTTATTATTTTATTACATGGTATTCGCTAATAAAATCTTGTTTTGAACCATGTATATAATTGCAATATTCTTTTAAATATATTTTTTCCACTGTATAATCTCAAGTAAAATTTCCCGAAAATGAGATCAAGTTCATAAAAGAAATTATTAGAATAGAAGTGATCCATTACGTATAAACTGCTTTGAACCTCAGTCTTGCCATATTTATCTGGACGACGAGACAAATGTGAATAAAAATTAAGTTCATTGGATTTTTAGTGAAAATACGTATGATATTCATACTGTCGAAACGCCTTCTTACATTGTTCGATCTGTCTAACGGCCTCGTTTGATAATTCTCAAATCTCATCGTAATAAGTAGAGACCGGTTTATTTATATAATTACATATTTTTTGTATTTCTACTTACCGTTCTCAAAACTGTAATCTTGGCGTATCGTCAAAATACTAACACAATATCCAATACTTTCATTACATATTTTTATGTTTTTAGTACCATGTTACCTTTTTTTAAACATATTTTGCTGTTTTAACAAAATATTTTTTTTTAATTTTATCAATGTTCACATATTTTTTTTATGAAAAGAGATATTCCAAATAGGTCATAATTTTCCCTCTCATAATTACTGAGGGCTGTCGAATCAAGAGGGACTTCGTTAAGAGGCGGACGGATGTTCTTACAGTGCGGTGCGCCAGCTTCAGTTATCTCAGAGGCCGGAAGTACGCGTCAGCGACTGTGACACTTTCCACACCTCAAGTTGAAAACGATAACTGACGTCCAGTTTCGCGATTTTTAACGTTAATTTCCGAGAAACTTTAGCGATCGCTGAAGTGAGATACTTCAATGAGAATGCTACACGCTGCAGTGATTGCCGGTTGTAGATGTTGCCAGTTTGTACGAGGGGTTTCCATTGTCTGTCTAGTCTGGCTGCTAAATTACCGTTCGGGAGAGTAATAGACGAAGTTTTTATTACCGACGGAAAAGTTGTATAGTGAAAAATGTGCTTCAACATGTGCTTCCCAAAATTATTTTTAAAACGTATGTATTATTTTTAAAATTAGTTTAGAACATTTTTAATAAATTTAATTTCGTATTACGTAAATGTGTTTTATAATTAGAGTATTTTAATATTATATCCAATTTTATATATTTATATATTCTCGCTGTTTTCATTACATATTTATGTACATATCTTGACGTTTCATTCTACATATTTTCCGGTCTCGGGTAATAAGATATCTTACGGAACGTATTTTGTAAATAAGTATTTTAATCCTGTGCCACGGTCGCTGACCTGTCTCTGGAGCCGTCAATGCCGAAGTCTGCAGGGTTATATCCCAGTGAAGACGTCAGTGCGGCGGGCGCCTGGCTGAGAATTCGCGAGCGTCTGCTCTGCTTCCTGTCTCAGAGCGCGTTTCCTTCGCTGCACTGTGGCGCCACCCCCTCCCCCTTCCGCCTCCCCCTTTCCCTTATTTCGCCTTCCCCGTATTTCCCCTTCCCCTTTTTGGCTACCCCAATCTTTTACCTCACTCACCCTTTTCCTTGCCTCCACCTCTTTACCCCACTTCCCCTTTTACTTTCCTCCACTTTTCCCTTTTTCCCCTTTTACCTTCTCCTTTTACCTTCTTCCCCTTTTACCTTCTTCTCCTTTTACCTTCGTTTCCTATTACCTTCTTCCCCCCCCCTTTACGTTCTTCCGCTTTCTTTCCCTATTACCTTTTCCCTTTTCTTTTGCTTTTAGTTTCTTCCCCTTTCTTTCTCACCTATACCCATGCCCTCATTTTTCTCAACTTCCTCCCTGCTTCACCTTTTTCTTAATGTCTTTTTCTCATCTCCTTCCCCCAACCCTTCTTCTCTTCTCTTCCCCCTCTTCCTCCTTTTCTCCCCTTGCCATTTCTCGTACGCGTTCCACTATTTTCCTTTCTTCCACACTCTTCTCCTTTTCCTTTTCCCTCCTCATATCTTCCCCTTTCCTTCTCTTTCATCTTTCCGTCCCCTCCCACACCCCCTTCACATTCTCCGCCTCTTTTCTCATCTCTTGCCCTGCCTTTCTCCTTCCTTTCCGTACTCCCATCCCGCTTCCTTTTTCTCCTATCTCCTCTTTCGCATCTCTTTCCCCAGCTTCTTTCCCTCCCACTTTCTCTTCTCTCATCTCGCTCTCTTCCCTTTCCTCCGGCCTTATCGGCTTCTTCGACATCTGCGGGTTCAGGCCTTCCAATCTTGCCGATCGTCCTTCTTCCTCCTTTCGCCTCTTCGGTCGCCCGTCCTCTCCCTCTTTGTTCTTTCGCTCCGGGGCCCCCGCTTTCTCTTCCCCACCAGTCCTTTCACCGGCTCCAGCGGCTGGTTCCTTTTTTCCTTCCCCTGGCCATTTGCCGCTCTCGCGCACTCCACCTCCGCCCCGCCCGCTTTCCCTCGCGCCGATCGACCACGCCCTGCATTTGGCCGGTGGGTTCGCGTGGCTGCGGCGACGCTACTTCGTCCCCGCAGACCAGCTGCACTCGCGTAGTCGCCCCTGCACGGATTGCCGGGACTGGCGATGTATGCCCGAGCGCCTGCACAAGCTGCAACGAGGGGGCGGCAGAGTGTCGTAGTTAAGGCTGGAGCCGCCCTCTCTCGGAGCCTGGGACCGTTGAGGGACGCGGAAGAAACAAAAGAAAATAAACAAGACTGCGGAGAAATGAATTCGTTTCAAGGAGCGTGCTTCGCCATCACATACTTTCTCGCAATATTTATAACCTTATTCTAGTTTCGACAATTATGAATTCGACGAAAATGCGCCATTTTAAGCGTCTTTTCGAAGGGGTTGGGTGGATTCATGAAAAACATGCAGCCGTTTTTGAGAATAATTTGTTTTCAAAACTTTCTTTCATACATGAAAAATAGTCATATTTTGAAATAATTGTATATGACCCCATTAGAACATCTAATTTTCTATTTTCATCTAATGATCTAATAACAGATTTAATTAATAAGAAAACGCGTTCTTCAATACCGTACTGCAGTAGAAAGACGCCGAAAAAAGTGTATCAAATCTTTGCCAGTGTACTATGCTCTACCTGAAGAAAATATGATTTGAAAGTATTTTGAAGAAAATGTTGAAATTGTCGTTCAGGTAAATATGTACCTCCAAAAGCAAAAAATATCCGTTTCGAATTGAATGTGTCGCGACATCAGGCAGACTCATCGGAGAATATAGGTGTGTAAACGAAAGAAAAAGCTCGGGCAGGCCAAGTAAGTTAAGTAGGGTGATGAGAATACATCATGTTTGTCACATGTCTTTCTTATCCGGTGTGGATAACAAATAAAGGACCCAGTACCCAGGCTTGAAAACACCACTAGCTAGCGAAAGTCGGGTTAATCCGCACCTGAAATGCCGAATACATTTATAGTAGGTTCCTTGAGAATGTGTGACCTCCCTCCTCGTCTTCCTCCTCCGTCTAGTACTCCATGATTCTAGGAAGAGGATTGCATCTACACGATGCCCTAGTTTCCACAGGGGTGGGGCTTACCCCTCCTCTCCCGGGCACGCTCGCCACTCGCAAACAGATGCGTAGGTGAAGACCCTGTGACTCTCTGCAGATACGTTATTCGACACCGTACGTGTTGCCGGGAGGTTTTCGGCATTGCAGTGCGTACACCGCGGACGTGTTATGCCCTCTGTTGCCGTGGTGCATCATTTTCGCGTGCAAACCTTCTCACTTTATTGAAAGAGTGATTTAAAAAATTAATATTCTTCTTCGTAATGCTTTTAATTGAAGAACGTAGCCGGGTAGTGAAAACTTGAGCAAATCAAGAACTTGCAGTCGAATATCAATACCTAGTTGTCTTTTCAATCCCAAACTGACTGAACAACGTTAAATGCTCGATTTTCTAGATGAACCAGCCATCTTTTGTTTCTAGTGGAACAACGTGACAAAGGTCTGTTGGTATCATTTTATTCCCGAGTGACATTCATTTGTCCCTGTTTATTACACTTGTTATTTTTGATCAAATAATCTATTGTTAATGAATAAATACGGTATCATTCTGTTGTTAATAAAAAAATATATTCTCCATATTTCGCATTTATTCCTTTTATGTCACATTTGGTGTATTAATTCTGCTCACTTAAGCACGCTCACAAACGTGCGATATTCAATTTCATTGCCCTCACCGATTATTTTTAAATCTGTAGTTTATTTGTTTCTTACTTGAAATAGCCTTGATATAGTTTCTATGAATAGCGTCAAACATGTACGATGTCGTTTCGTGTTGTGTTGATGCTGGTGTGTTACGGCAAGCAAGATCGTCTGAAAGGCAAGCCGTGGAGCGTCATGCGTATTTGCGTGGCGTATTTACAAACAGAGCGACTGGGAAAGTTTTAGATCACGGGGCATCTGTTCGCCGCTCCCTGCAGCCTCGATGAGCGGAAGAAGTGCTGACCGAGGAAGTGGGATGGCGGGAGGAGCGGGGAGGAGTTGGACGAAACGCAAGAGGCGGGGCAGCGCTGGACGCAGCGGGGCGAACCTCAGCGGGACATCGTGAAGCGAGAGCTTACAGTAAAGAAGAAGCGGCCGAGAGCGGCGCAGCGTCTAAAGGAGCAGAGAGAGATTGAGGCACAGCCGAAGCGGGCGGAACGGAGTGCGTGCAGAGCGGTCTAGGAGCGTACTTAGAGGACGGAGTGGGGCGGAAGCGGAGCGACGTACGGGGCAGACGGAGCGGACGAGTTGGAGGGGACGGAGCGCCGCCCGCTCCATCGCTGTTGGCTGAGCCCGGAGATGTTTGGCCGGATCGCAGCCCCCTTCGACACCGTATCAGCAGGCTGCAGCCGCGCAAAGCTAGCGCCAGACCGAATGCCTAACGGGGCCCGCAGCCGCGCCGCCATAGCCAGTGTGAACGGGGGTGACTGCAAGACGGAGTGAGATCGCGGGCCGTACCGTACTGGGCGTGCGGGCGAAGCGGCCCAGTGAAGCAGAGTGGAGGCGATCGGCGGAGCTGCGGACGGGGCGACCAGGAGAGCGGCGCCGTGAGCGGGTGACAGCGGGCCGAAGCGAGCGATGTGAGATCGATGAGGCATGGTGGGCCCACCCCAGCGACAAATTCCAAAGTGCTCCGAAGACTGTCTCACAACATACGGTGCATTGAGTACAGTAAGCGTTAGAGTTGTGTTGTGATGAGTGTGGTGTTTGTAAGGGAGAGGATAAGACAAGAAGAGGAAGGAAGATCGCGCAGCCCCGGTCCGTGCCCGCTTGATGTTTAGCATACTGCCCCGCATCCCTGGTGTTGATCTTAACCATCACAGCGGGAAGATAGCTCTAAGGCTCCCCACCGGTCTCCCGCCATTGTGGAGTGTTGCATGCTAGGTAAGAGTGTAGGATAGGAGCAAGAAGAAGGAACAGATCCGCGGTCCGTGCCGATTGTTCAGAGTGCTGCCTCCGCATTCGCCTGTGTTGTCTCTAACCATCACAGCCGAAGAGCTCTAAGTCCCCACCGTTCATCCCGCCATGTGTCAGTGTGGTGCATGCTAGTGTAAGCCGGAGGATACAAGAAAAAGAGAAAATCGCGCGGGAGTCCGTGCGGCCGTTTTTAGAGTGCTGCTCCGCATTCGCCTGTGTTGATCTTAACCATTCAAAACAGCAGGAAAAGACTCTAAGCTCCCACCGCTCATCCCCAGTTGGAGTGTGCATGCCTATGTAAAGCGTGAGGATAGGACCAAGGAAGAGAAGAAAGATCGCGCCTCCGTGGCCCGTTTGTTAGAGTCCGCATTCGCCTCTGTGTGTCCCTCTAACCATCACAGTCCGAAATTATGCTCCCAATCGTGCCCACCGGCGCCATACTGTGGAGTGTGCAATGCTGTATAGTATAAGGGGTGAATAGGACAAGGAGGGAAGAAAATCGCGACGGCTGTCCGTAGCCGTTTTCTAGAGTCGCCCTGCTCCGGCATTCGACCCCCACAATGGTGTTTTGATCTTAACCATCACACCGGGGAAGAGCTCTAAGCTCCCCACCGTACCCGCCAATGTGTGAGAGTCTGTGCGCATCTAGCCGGTAAGGGAGAGTATAGTGACAGAAGAGAAGAAAGATCGCGCACAGGTGCGTGGCGCCCGATGCGTAGGATACTGCCCCGCATCCCCCTTTGATCTTGAACCAATCACGCGGAAGAGCTCTAAGCCTCCCTACCAGGCACCCGCCATGCTTTGGCCTTCTGTATGATGCATGCTAGGTAGAGGTAGTGATATAGACACAGTAACAGAAGCGAAAGATCGCTTCCGGTCCGTGGCCTGCCTTTGTGCTTTAGAGTGCGCTCCGGCATTCCGCATTGGTGTTGATTCTTAACCATCCAGCAGCCGGGAAGAGCTCTAAGCTTACCCGAGCCTGTTCTCTCCGCATGTAGTCGAGTGTGAGGTGCATGCTAGTGTAAGGTGAGTACGATAGGACAAGGAAGAGGAGGAAAGATCGCGCGCCGGTCCGTGGCCCGTGTGTAGATACTGCCCCGGCGATTCGCCTGGTGTTAAGTCTTAACCGATCAGCAGCCGGAGAGCTCAGAAGCTCGCGCGGCACCGTCTTCCCGCTCATTGTTGGAGTGGTGCATGCTAGTGTAAGGGTGAGATAGACAGGAAGAGAAGGAAGGAGCGCGTACGGTCGTGTCCCGTGTTTAGCATATTCATGCCCCGGCATTCGCCTGGTGTTATCTTAACCATCACAGCCGGGAGAAGAGCTCTATAGCGCCCCACCGCGCTCACCCGCCCATGTGATGGATGGTCGTGCTGGGCCATGCTTATGTGTAGGGGAGATATAGGACAAGGAAGAGAAGGAAGATCGCGCTGCCTGTCCTTGGCCTCGTTTTTTTAGAGTGCTGCTCCGGCCACCGCATTGTTCATCTTAAACCATCACAAGCGGAAGAGCTCTAAGCTCCCCAGCGGTCTCCCGCCATGTGGTGGCGAGTGTTGATAGCATGCTATGGTAAGGGTCTTGAGGATAGTGACAAGAAGAGAACGAAAGATCCCGCCGCGGCGCGTGCCGAATTTTAGATGCTGCTCCGCATTCGCCGTGGTGTTGAGTGTAACCATCACAGCGGGAAAGCTCTAAGCTCCCCCACCGTCTCCCGCCATGTGTGGAGAGTTGGCATGCTAGGTAAGGGAAGAGGACTTAGAACAAGAGGGGAAGTATAAATCGCCCCAGTCCGTGGTTGCCCGTTGTTAAGTACTCTCCGGCATATATCGCATTGTTGATCTTACCATCACAGCCGAAGACTCTAAAGCTCCCTTACCGGTCTCCCCGCCATGTGGAGTGTGGCATGCTAGTGCTAAGGGTGAGATAGACAGGAAGAAAGGAAAGATTCGCGCGGTCCGTGGGCCGTTTGTTAAGTGCTGCTCCGGCATTCGCCCTCGGTCTGATTATCTTAACCATCACAGCCGGAAAGCTCTAAAGCTCCCCACCGGTCTCCCGCCATGTGCTTGGAGTGTGGTGCATGCTAGTTAAAGTGAAGATAGACAAGAAGGAGAAAAGATCGCGCGCGTCCTGGGCCATTATTAGAGTGCTGCTCCGCATTCGCCTGGAAGTTGATCTTAAAAACCATCACACAGCCTTTTGAAGAGCTTCTAATCTCCCACCCGTCACCCGTCCATGTGTGGAGTTATGGTCCGCGCATTCTAGTATAGCACGGGTGAGGATGACAAGGAAGAGAAGGAAAGACTCGCGCGGGTCCCCTGTGGCCGTTTGTTCACCGCCGAAGTGCTGGCCTCCGGCATTCGCCTGTGTTGACTTAACCATCACAGCCGGAAGAGACTCTAAGCTACCCCACCCGGCTACCCGCATGTGTGGGAAGTTGAAGGGCATGCTAGTGTAGAGAGAGGATAGACAAGAAGGAAAGGAAAGATCGCCGCTCCGAGTCCGTGGCCCGTTGTTAGTACTGTCTCCGCTTCGATCGGCGTTTGATCTTACCATCACAGCCTGAAAGAGCTCTAAGCTCCCCCACCCCTTCACGCCATTGTTGGAGAGGTGGTGCATGCTATGTAGGAGAGGATAGCGAACAAGAAGAGAGAAAGATCGCGCACGTCCGAATGCCCGGTTTAGGATACTGCCCCGGCATTCGCCTGGTGTTGATCTTACAGTCACAGCCTCAACGGGAAGAGCTCTAAAGCTCACCTACCGTCTCCCCCATGTGATGGAGTTGGCATGACAGATGTATAAAGGACGGAGGACAATAGGACACAGAGACAAGAAAGATCGCCCGGTTCCTGGCCGTTTGTTTAGAGAGATCCGCATCGCCTATCGGTTGATCTTAACCATCACACCGGAGAGCTCTAAAGCTACGGCTTCACCGCGCGCCTCCCCCTGCCGAGGTTGCGTAGTTTATGCATGTAGTGTAAGGGTGCTGAAGACTAAGGGACAGGAAGACAAGGAAACACCTCGCCCGCGGTCGCGTTGCCCGTTTGTATTAGATGCTGCTCCGAAAACGCCTCGTTTTATCTTAAACCAATACCACAAAGCCGGAAAAGCTCTAGAGCTCCCCAACCGTCACCCGCCATGTGGAGTTGCAGACTAGGTAAGTTGTGTATTGGACAAGAGAGAAGGAAGAACGCGCCGGTTTGTCCGTGGGCCGTTTTAGAGTTTGACTCGCTCCGTGCAATCCGCCTATGTGGTTTATCTTAACCATCACCCGCGAAAGCTCTAAGCTCCCCCACCGGTCACC